CCCTTGGTTTCTTTATTTCCTAAGTTACATCTACTGTATCAGGTGGGAAATGACTTTGATGCAATTGTGGCCTTCAGTTCTGTTATCAGGTATGTTATCCCAGAGTCATGAAATAGAAATGCTCACATATCTAGTTAAGATGCTCATATCATACCATTTATTAAATGTGTTTAAGACATATGGCAAGGGGGGAAGGGATGGGGAGGGTAACACAATCAGGATAAGGAACAAATAGAAGTGCCATATTATTTAAATCTTGGGTTGTATAATGTTCATATTTTTTTGCTGTATCAGCCTTCCCTGCTGATGGTGTGGTGGACAGAATCAAGGTAAGATTTGAACAAGGGGTCCATTAGACTGAAGGTATGTGAGGCCCAAACACAGACTTGCTCTACTGGAGAGATGCAGGCATAAGTTTGCTGAACAGCTATGGGATGTATATGCGTTTTTTTAGGTAGAGCACATGGGAGGCCATAACTATACTGAGTGTCATCAGCAGGTGGCCAATTTATGAATGATGTAGTTGTGAGCCCAGAACTGAAATTATAATATCTTATGATTTATTCTTTTCATCTCTTTTTATCTAGAAGTAGCAAGTTTGTGTATTCCATCATTTATTCCATCTATTTTTAACATGCATAATAGGTTGCTAAGTTACTATCTATATTTAATACACACTATGACTTCTGCCTGTGTCTCACAAGCTATTTGCTTACTCACTAGCTAAATTTAAAACACAAGTTTCACTAATATCTTATGGGCTACTAGTTTACTTACAATCTATGCTTAATGTCTCTTAGCAGTTTTATCCATCCTCTTTGTTTTTGGCTTTTAAAACAATCAAATATTCTCAAATATAGCAAACACTTAGAAAATTGTGTAGGTTGTCCTCCAAAATATATAAAGAATTTACCTATTATCCATCATGCTCACTAAAGTAATCCAGATGCAAGCTGCTGTTATATCTTTCCTGAATTGTTGCAGAAGTATTCTAACTGGTCTCCTTGCTGTCATCCTTGCTTCCCTTAGTCTATTCTCCACATAGCAGCTGTGTCGAGACAATGTGAGCTCAAATCCCTCCACCATTAGCTTTCCACCTTACTGGTAAATAAAAGTCTAAGTCCTCACCTTTACTTACAAAGCCCTATGGGATCTGGTACTCCATTACATCTCAGACACCATCACCTATCACACGCAGCCCTGCACTTACAGAAAATTAACCTCACAACTCAGGGCTTGTGCATTATCTATGTTTCTACTTCATGGAATTCTCTTCACCCAGATATCCATGCCTCCTTCCAGTCCCTACTCAAAATTTGCCTTCTTAGTCCTTCAGAGTCCTTCTCTGGTTATCTGAACTAAAACTTTAACTTTCTTCCCACTACATATTGCACCTTCCCCTTTCCTATTTTATTATATTTTTCTTTTTAGCAGTTATTAATTTACTTTCTGCTAATTTTTACTTTACTTAAGATATATTACTTGCATATTATTTAACATACTATTTTACTTATACTGCTATCTTGTTGGTTTTTTTAAATTTTATGTCTCTCACATAATTAAATACCCTTCATGAAGCCAGGAATTGTTTTGTATTTTTGCTTACTGATGTATCACTTGATCCTATAATAGTATCGGACACATAGTAGGTGATAAATAAACAAGTGTTTAATGACTGAATGGATGAATATTACTCTATGTGTGGGCAATGCTATATATTAATACAATAATCACAGTAGAGAAAATTCAGTGTTACCCTAGTATAAAGAGCATGTTCTTGTAATTAGATGAATCTGAACTTGAATACAGGCTCTGCCACTTACTAACTAGGCCTTGAAATATGGACTAAATTGGGCAATTTGAAATGAAAACAAAAGTTACTCTGGGCTGAGGAAAGCAGGAAATTTCTTGGCACTTATGGAGGAGAACAAGTGACTTAATTTGGTTGAAGAAGACATGAAATATATTAAATGTGTAACAAGCATAAAATATAAATTGCTAATAGAACATAGAGCTTTTTTTTGGAAATTTAGGAGAGTGGACTTGCTATACAAGCAAAAGAAAGCGAAGACAGTTTTATAAATGTTATTACTAAGGCGGTGAATAAGAAAATTTAATCTGATTCAAAGGAGGTTAAGCTAAAGGTAATGATATCAACTTCAAAGCTATTAATATTTCTGTGGTGTAGAAGACATGTATCAGGGGCCTGAATCAGTGGGACATTTATAAAACTTAAGGGAACATAATGAAGAAATGTTATAAAGAAAGAATTGACTAGATATGTCTTATTTACTGAATATCAGATCACTGTACAGAAGAAAGAGGATGTCTCATATGCAAACCTCAATGACTTTTGAGTCATATGCTCATTGACATACCAAAATAAGGACAAGAAACTTTGAAACACAGTTCACTTGGGGACATACTAGGTTTGAAACAACAGTGAACATCAAGGTATAGATACATAACAAAGATTTGAAAATGAGTTGGAAATGGGGCTGTTAGTCAAGAGAGATTGCAAGTGGTGAAAACATAGATAGGATGGTTATTTGCATACAGATTGAAGCCAGGAGATTAAATCATATTGATAACAGAATAAGCATACAGATAAGAGGGCCAAGAGATCTTCCATGAGATTGCTATGCTCCGGAGTTGGAAGAGGAGAAAGATCCAGATACAGAAAGAGATACAGAATAGTTAGAGAGAAATAAGAACCTGCTGAGTAAAGGCTCTGAAACAATGTGCTTCAAGGATAGTAGAAAGTTATGAGAACAGAATAAAAATTTGATTTGGGGACTAAGAATACTTATTTGGTGACTAAATAAATCAACAAACTAAGCATAGTGATATGTTTGGGGAAAGGAGGCATGCACATGTTTTCCATAGGGGACAATCATCTGCAAGGCTCTCTCTTCATGGAAAACTTCGTGTTTCCTTATAGATCACCAAGTAAACACTTGAATAAAACTCTCTGATGAAATCCAACTCAGCCTGTCTTAAGTTCATTTGAAGTGGAGCAGATACAACCTACAGGGGGCAGTGTAGGCTCAGTCCTTGTGGGACTCTAGAAAAAAAATGTTCTTAGTGAGTGTGAATATTTAAGACATAAACTTATCAAACCTAACTATGCATAGCATCACCTTCTGATGTGCTTCCTTTAGTAACATATCACTCCCCATCTCTTGTGATTTCTGCTGCTTCTTTTCTAAAGGATAAACATTAGATTTATTTGAATGTCTCATGTTAAATAAAACAGATAAGTGAATGTGTTGAATATTTTATGACATATTATGTATTTGGCGGTATTTACACAAAAGTAGAGTGAACAAATAGAGTCTAGCAAGATTTAAGTCCATTTGCAATTACTTCATTAAGGAGTCATACCTGAGCAATGCCTTAATGAGGTGGTAATGAGGTAAAAATGTGCTGCCAGAAAAGGCAAAAGGCAGCTCAATAAAGTGATAATGAAAGAGGAAAAATAAACCTTGATATTTTTGCCTTGGCTTATGCTACTTTACTTTAGAAGGTAGCACCTATCCCTTAAGTCTTTGTGATTTCAAAGGGGGAGTGGTGATAAAAACAGTCTAGGGATCAGGAAAGAGTTGGAGGAGAGCCAAGAGGTCAGGAGTGACAGGAAGGAGCAAGAGAGAAGGATGGCTAAACTTAAAATGTAATAAATATAGCACTTCCCATTCCTAAGGGATTTTATAAAGATTAGATGAGTTCATATATGTGCACATGTGTCATATAGTAAACACTCAATAATGTGTGGCAGAATTATTATTTACTGACAATGAGGAAACCAGTCAAGTTTCTTGTTAAGGATTATACAACTAGCCTTTGTGAAAACTTGGATGGGAATTTAATTGAGGAAGAGACTGACTCACCCAAACTTTTTCACCCATTCTCCTTTGTTCAGCTTTGCATGAAAATTAGCCAAGGATAGAGGGCATAACTATGCCTTAAAATAAATGTTTCCTCAAGGGAATCTTTCAGAGTTCAGAATTTGCAGCCTCATGCATCAATTAACTGCCAAATAAATCACTAATTAAATGCATATCACTATCTTGAAAAAAAATCAATGAGCCTCCAAAAATGTACACTATTTCTTTTACCAATAGGATCATGTTTATATTTTCTAAACTCTCATTCATAGTATAGTTTTGATAAAAGTCACATCCTGAAGAACTTTTTGAATTGGCTCCACTGAGCCAAATAAATAAAGCTTTCTTTTAAAAAGAAATTCTTGCAAAACTAGCAGTCCTACCACATTTCATTTCCATGCTCTAACATATACAAGGCTATAACTCCCTGTATTTTTAGTTTTCCTACAATATTGCAAGGGTGAAAAATTCCAGTGAGACTATTCCTCATGCAGAAAGTACTAAATGGTGCATAGCATCTGACCTGATTTTACTGTGACATTTTCTTATAAACACTACAGTTAGTATTATATACAAGTTTAAATTAGCAATACTAAAAGAGATCATATGAAGAAGATTGCAGTTATATTTTTCTTAAACAGAATAAATTTATTTTTAGAATGAAAATATAATAAAAACATTTACTTTGATTATTACCTTTATGCATCACATATCTAGAAAAATCTCCCTGGTGTGATTGATAATTTTCATATATTTGTCCATACTTTTTAAAGTTAAATATATAAACCTTTTAATGAGCTTCATCTTTTTTTTTAATAACCACTGGTAGCCTTTGTAAAAAAAGAACTTAAATAGGTAAATATGTAATGATGGTACAAATCACTATTATGAGAATTCTCATTCATGATGAATCAATGTATATTAAACCTAGAGCAGTCTCAATAACAGAACAGCATCATATGAAAGAATCTATTCAATAATAAAACTGGGAAAAACAAAACAGCTCTTGATGGAGGAGAAAAAAAGCACTGAAAAATTCAAAGAAGCAAAAGCAATGTTAGATTATCTTGGAAGCAGTTCTCGGGTTTGTAGAACAGAGAGTAAATGTTGACAGACCTGTGAAGAAAATGGGCTCCGTGTGGGGTCAGAGGTGGTGACATAAGCAGCCTGTGTGTAGGCATAACTCTTGAACCGAGGCTTAGGAGAAGAAGGAGTTCGCTCATAGCCCTGGGCTAGACTGACTGTGATCTGCAGAGAAGGGTTTGGGGGAGGGGACAGACAGGAGGAGGAGACATCATGAGTAAGCTGGAAGGACTGCTTTTCAACACACTAAAAAACAGAATGTTAGGTGGAAATGATGAGATGAAAGGTTTAATCCTAGACACATATAAGTGATATTAGAAACTGGTATACTCCAAGAATTGTAGTGCTTAATGTCATGGGGGAGAGCAAATGATCTGGGAAGATATGAGGGTGGGATTTAACCATCAGGATTCCATACTGACACAACTCCAGCACTTATATGGAATGGTGCTCTTCAGTCTGGCAAAAACAAGCATCCAAAAGCAATTTTCTCTAAACCCAAAGTAAACAAAGCCAGAATTCATCAGGTCAATACCCTGGAAAGGACTGAAGCTTTCATAAGCTAAATATAGAACTAGCTCAGTAGAGTGAGAAAATTAGGCCTGAGAGCTTTCCACACCTTCAACAGAAATTTTGCTAAAGGCTTTTTCATCATTGTTTGTGCCTAAGAAAGTTAGAAGAAAACACCCAAAATACCCACTCTTGAGAGCAAGCACAAGCCAATGTCATGGAAGAATCCCACTGGATTCTATGCAATGATATAATAAAGGATTTAATCATATGTATTCTTCATTTAATTCTTATTTGAAATATTTTAAACCAGTTTTTTTCTTTTCATAATTGTTAACTGTGAATAATCAAAATTTGTTAATACATCACGTTGCCACTAACAACGTTAATATATCATGTTGCCAATAACTTTTAAAAAGTTATTAAAAGCAGTATTTGTCTTTGTTCTTGCTCTAGCTATTTGCTCTTTGCCCTAGTCATTGGAGAATTTAAAGCTAATATGCACATAAGTTTGCCTTTCATTTCATTTTACACAATGAAAATGCAATATATTCTGTATTTTATGTTCCTATAATAGATATATATTAATAGTATTTTAAACACGTGCTTTGAAATAAATATTGTAGCCCATATCAGATAAAATTTAAAAGGTTTTTATGGTCTGTCTGTATACAAATGTACACATTGTTTTATATCAATATGTGTGATTATATATATCCATTATATATGTGTGTGTACATGTGTGATACGTAAAAATGCATATAAAACAGCAAACATCTTTGATATTAGCTGCCCTTTAGACATTTTACCTGTTGAGAATAATGCATTTGATGATGTAATTGAAAATGTTCTTCTTTAGTCACTTTAGATGGTCTTGGCAACATTTCCACTTCCTGGATGGCTTCGATGCTCACTTGCTGAGGCAAAACTTGAAAGAGTGATGTGATGTACATTAAGATGGACTTCTTATCTGGATAAGTGGTGGCAACATCTGTAAGCACATTAACACCACACATCAATTTTTGGTTTCTATATTTGAGACTCTGAAAGGGTAATGAACAAATCAATGCTACAGGAAAAGGACAGATTAATGAACACTCAATTGTCCATGATTGTCCTCCAGAGACTAATTAGAACATGATAATCAGGCCTAAAATGTCCTTTCAATTTGGCAGACCAATGAGATGAGCACTAAAGTTAATTTCTTTTCCTTGTTCACACAAAAACTTCATTCCATAATACTTTTTCCTAAGTCAAATTGCCAGACTAGCCCATCTAAGAGGGTAGCTTTCATTAGATAAGAAAAAAAAAAAATAAGACATCACATTTTCCTTTCCATGGAAAGTTATACTAACATGTCAATTAAAATGCTGCATTAGTAATTAAACAATTACGCAAAAGAGTTTAATGCCTTGGCGCCCAGTAACAAACCTTAACACATCCTAATTGAATTTTTGCTAGTGTCAAAGTGTACAAAGAGCTAACTTTGTCTCCGTGTTGAAATGAGCCATGTATTTTCACAATAAAAATTAAATAAAACAGAAATATACTATAAGAATAATGATTTGTAATATTCCTTTAGCATATTAAAATATTTGTTTACATTATGGTGCATCTGTTAAAGTAGGGTGTCACTTTCCTTCTTAGATTTTGGAGATAAATTTGAAAGTCCTGCACATAAAGTTAATCTTACTTCATGTTCTTTGCCACATTCAAGCAGTGAATGAAACACAGCATTTAAAGTCAATAACAACTTGTAATAACACATAAAGAGTCAGCTGCTTCAAAATGTTCTTTGGCTAGCTGGCATTACAATTTACTTACTGTAGTTATTCCAGGGAATCAAGATATAAAATAATTTTTTTATGTGAAGTTGTATCATTAATCCTGGAAGCGTTAAAACATAAGTTCTGATAATGAAATACCATTTAGCCTTAAAAAAGAAGGAAATTCTTGAGGACATTAAGTGAACTAAGCCAGCCACAGAAAGACAAAATCTGCAAAATCTCACTTCTATGCAGAATCTAAAAAGTTGAATTCATAGAAGGAAAGAGTAGTACCAGGGGCTGGGGAGGGAAGGAGTTTGGGCCATGTTGGTCAAAGGATGTAAAAGTTCATTAAGATAGGAGGAATAAGTTCGAGAAATAAGATCTATAGTACACTCTAGTTAATAACAATGCATTGTATTCTTAAGAATTACTGAGAGTAGGTTTTGGATGTTCTTGCCATAAAAAAGTAGTACTTGACATAATGTATATGTTATTTAGGTCTATTTAGCTATTGCATAATGTATACATATTTTAAAACATCATTTTGTATATAATAAATATATAAATGTTTTTAATTAAAAATAACTAATTGATTTAAAGGCAAACAAGAAAGAGAAATGTAAGTCCTGGTTAAGGCAATGTGGCAATGCATTTTTCTTGCCATAAATTTATCTTAGCTTAATTAGCATTAATAGATCTATTTTAAATATGTATATTCAGATAAGGAATTCTGATTATGAGTGAAAAAGCCACAAATAAAGTCATAAGTCCACTAGCCCAAAAGGGGTTTGAAAAAGTGACTTAGTCAATTCCTTTACAAGTACCAGGTCCATGATTCATCAGGACAACTATTTCTAAAAAGAATTAAGAGGAGGGAAAAATTAACTAATGTTCCTTGGTCTACTTCTATCCCTTGTATCATACAGTGCTTCTAAAATTTTAATGTGCGTATGAATCACCTGGGGAACTTTTCAAACTACAGAATCTGATTCAATGGGTAATGAGTGGAGCCTGGAGCTCTGGATTTCCAATAGACTCCCAAGTGATGCTGAACTTGCTGGCCTGCCATGGTTTGAATAAAAAGGGTCAAAAAATATCACACATAAGCAGACTCTTACATCATCTTCCATTTCATTATTTTATTCATTTTTTCAAAAGATATTTACTAGACCCTTAAATGCACAAAGCTGAGAGATATAAAGTTATACAATACACACATTCCATTCCTTATTATAATTTAATTATTAACCAAAAGGTGGTAAAACTGAATTTTGCAAGTACTTTTTGAAGAAAAACCTAATGAATATTTTGTACATGACTACTGCTACTAACTTCACTTTGGCATTTTGAAGCCTAGAGAAATCCCATTTATCTGATAATTATTCTTTAAGAATTTATTATATGGTCAATCCTTCACCATATCTTGACATTCTACAATACTTCCTTCCTTCTCATGAGTGACTTGTCAGTTTTATCTTTGATGAGCATAACAGAAAACTTTCATTTGTGAGTGTATTAAATAAACCCATGCTGTGAGAAAGGCATTGAATTAAAAAAGGGATGACCTCATGCCTATTCACTGCTATGTTTTACATAGGCATGTGCATGTATATGTTTGGCTTGAAATATATGACATGATAAAAAGAAAAAAAAAGGCAAAAATAGGGCAGGCATTATTTCTATTGCCCGCAAAGGTCAAACATTATAATAAATTTTATCTCTATAAAACATCATGCAAATTGAAAGCAAGTATTAAAAAGTATCAGTCATTACAATAAATGTGCACTTACTCAACCAACTTATTGACATTTTTGCCCCAAACTATAATTCTCCCATCTCTCAGATCATGTAGTATTCAAAAGTGCCAGTAGGTAGAAATCGATATTTCTCTTATTAAAGAAATGAATTTAGACCTTCTAAAATATTTTCAATTCCTTTGGCATATTAATATATTTACTAAAGATCTATTATATTCAAAATATTTTAATTGATTATTCAAGACATTTGGAAGATAGAGAATTCATGAATTCTGCTTACAATTTAGAATAATAATAAAATAATAAATAATAAGAAAAGTGCAAAATAATTACATTGCCGAACCAAATTTAAAATGTGTACCTCTAATTGTTACAACCAGTGCTTTAACATGTTCAGATAAAGAAAGAAATTATGTATTATTAAAGGATCATATAATTTCTTATAAATAGGAAATGGAAATAGGTATGTATAGGATTTTGTTAGCTAGAAATGAGGAATGGGAAAGAGTATTCCAGGCAGTGGAATAGCATGAATAAATGTGCAGAGGTAGGAACAGGTTAGATATGTACCAGGAATAATGCCTCTGTGTCTTAGCCACAGGGAGCAGAATAGTCAAAAATAAAACAAAACTGGTAGATTCTATGTGGAACATTTAGGGATCATCAATAGTAAACTAGAAAATTTGGCTTTAGTTCAATAGGTTAGATAGTAACTAGTTACATTTGAGCAAGAGTGGGACATCATCAAAATTTTATTAAAGTGAAACCTTTAAGTGCACAATAGATTAATAGAAGAACTGGAGGGAAGTAGAAGGCTAGGGACATAATTCAAATAGGAGGTGTTAGAGAACTAAAATAGAATTGTTCAAGGGGAGAATGAAAACAAGATGTATGACAAAAATTCCAAGATAGGTCCAAAATGACTTCATTCAATTTTCAAATGAATTAATCCACAGTCTTTGGAAATACCTATATACAAAATTCTGTGCTAAACTCTGAAGTTATAAAGACTAATAAACTGAGAACAAAATGAAGGAGGAGGAGTACAGAAGGAGGACACTGATTATTCTGTAGCCATGGTAACAAGTAGCCACCAACACAAGTTTCAATCCTATTTAATCAATTAACAATTAGCTGCCTCTGTGATTGTTATCATGCTTCCTCAAGCCAACTAGTGGCAAATCCTTCCTTCTGAAAGTCTGCTAATCAGAAGTGGATTCACTCCAATGAACACGATTCTAAATGCAAACGAATTAACAATGGTCTCACCTAAGTTACTATGGTTTCTAAAGCTGACATCAACCTACTCCCAACCTTGAATGTTCTCAGATTACTTGACCTCTGGGTTTCCCCCACAAACCTAAGAACATTCTCTTTTCAGAGACTGTGGTTGAGTAGCATAGTTCTCTCTTATTTAAGAAAGCAATAAATTTAGCTGTGTGTTTTTATTTCAAATATTGATTAATGTTCTCCTCATTTGATAAAATTCAAGTGAGGAAGGAGATTCACTTGTAAATTTAAACTTATTAATGGAAACTTATCAGACAAGAGTATAATGCAGTGAAAGAATGAGCAATCCTGAATCTGAAGACCTGGATTTAAAAAAAAATTCTGTACCTAAATATTTATATCTGTAAAGAAAGGTCCTTTTTTTTTTCTTTTTTGAGACAGAGTCTCACTCTGTTGCCTGGGCTAGAGTGCCGTGGTATCAGGCTAGCTCACAGCAACCTCACCTCCTGGGCTCAAGCAATCCTCCGGCCTCAGCCTCCTGAATCGCTGGGACCACCGGCATGCACCACTATGCCCGGCTAGTTTTTTCTATATATTTTTAGTTGTCCAGCTAATATCTTTCTATTTTTAGTAGAGATAGGGTCTTGCTCTTGCTCAGGCTGGTCTTGAATCCTGACCTCAAGTGATCCTCCTGCCTCGGCCTTCTAGAATGCTAGGATTACAGGCGTGAGCCACTGTGCCTTACCCCAAAGAAAGATCCATAACATCTTTTACTTATGTTTACTTATGTTCCCCAATCTGTGAAATAAAAATCAGAGTCCCAATCTCACCATGATGTGATGAAGCTCAAACGCAATAATGTTTAGAAAAACTGTAAATTTTGTTAAACTTTAGTATTGTTGCTATATTGCAATTGTTGTTTCTATCATTAATACAAAAAAAACCCTAGTTATAGGGGAACATTAGTACTATTAACAGGAAGTCAGAAAAAGGAGCTGTTTGGAAGGAAAGGCCTTTTATAACTTATTACATATTTACAAAGTTATTATTATATGCTACAGAATATACTTAGCCTATGTTAGATTATAGGTATTCAGGAGATAAGCCACCCTAGAAATAATGAAAGACATTTCTTTGTCTTAGAAATCAAAATAAATTTCATGACTTAGGGGTAATTCTCATTTATGATGACCATATCAAGGACAATTCCTGGCACTTTGTGAGCACCTAAATAC